CATTTACTGTGAGGACTTGTACACTTCAATCTCTATGTTCACATCAACATGTAACACTGAGCAAACTGTCTCACGCTTTCTGGTGGATTTAAACGGTAACAAGAGACAAGCAGCTTTACACTGCTAATATAATATGCCACTGAAGTATCTGAGAGCAGTCAGACCAACTAACCTGGCTAGTGCTGAACCAGGTTAAGTGGATACTGCTGGTAGTTCTTTGTGCATTTCATTTGCCAGAGGTTAATGCCCTCTTCTAGCAAAAGCTTTTTCTTGCCTTTACTCTCTCTTCCTTTTTCCCCCTTTTTTTCCTTTTCCTTTTCCCTTCCCTTTCCCTTTTCCTTTCTCCATCATTTCACTAAATTGGGTTAGAAAGCAGTCAGTCAGTGAAAATGACAGGGCTAAGAAAGAAATAACCTTTGATGGGGCTGCCAGTGAGATAGGGACTTCCAATGGGGAGCAGTAAATATTTCCACCCGGATGATGGTGATGATGAGCAGGTTAGTCTGTCTGTCTGTCCTTCATGCTCCCATGAAGTCTGCACGAGTTGGGCATGTTCAGGAAGGATAACTGCAGTGTGATGCGGGGGCATGAGAGGGCTGAGGATGAGACAGGGAACAGAAAGCTCTTCTTATGGAAGAAGGCTAATAGACACTGGTCTCAGTGTGCAGCAAATAAAGAACAGGAGGAAAGAGGATAGTTCTGCATTAATACATCAGGAATGAAGAAGAGGAAAACAGTCACACTGTAGGATAAGATTTGCTTGAAAACAAGGGGGTGTAAAATTCCCGTGTGTCAGTTCAGACTAGAAATCTGGTGGAGGTTTCTAAAGAGCAAAGCAGCGAAGCTCTGTAGAGGCCCTCAGCAGTAACTTTGGTTACAGCTGCAGCCAAGCGTTCAGCCTAACCGGGCACATTTGTGGGAAAGCAATGCTGTGGCTGCTCCCCGTCCTAGGCTGCACCTCTTATCCTCTGCACCACTGTGCACATCCCCACCGCAGGAGCTCACAGCCGGGCACAGGGAGAGAGAGGGCCAGGAGCAGCGCTGAAGCATTCCGTTTGGGAACGCCAGCTGAGGGATAAAATCCCCACTGACTGTGGAACTTGTGTGTGGGAAAAACCATAAGGTGCTAGAGGCAGAGGATGACACCAAAAGGAGGAGGCTGGTGTGAGGGAGCTGTAGCAGGCTTTGTTCTGATGTCCCAGTCAAGGCTTAGCTATGTGTTATTAATCAGCCATGATTCAACATCAGAGTGTTCAGGCACTGGGGATGGGGATAATCAGGCCAGCCAAGTTTGGACTTTGAATGTGTGAATACGGAGGCCACATGAAGAAAAAAGTTGCAGTGCAGTCTTGTTGGCATTTCAATTTATTTTCTCTGAAGCATTTGCAAATGAGAATTTTCCTGGGACTCAAGAACCTTTGGCAAAGGCAGGGGTGGCAATGACCAACTGAGAGCAGCAAGCATTTTAACCCAGATCAGCATCACCAGCTTTCTAAATATAAAAATAATTAATTTGTTTTTGTACTTCAAGCTCAGTAAAGCCACAAAACCTCAGGGGCTATCCACACTTGAAAGCTCATTTGAATTAAGGCAGTGTGGGAATTCACACTCCTGGGCTCTGCTTGCATATTTAAAGTACAGTTGACTTTTATTCCAAATAAGAGTTTTTCATGACTTGACTTAATGCATTTTCAAAGAGGGGAGTGTCCACACATGGAGTTACTCTGAAGTAACTAACTAGGCATGTAGGCAAGTCCTAGCAGCTAGCACTGGAAGTAAATATTTTCAGCACTCAAGCACAGAGCCTATGAGGACTTACTCACATACTCGGTTTCACGCAGATGAATGTATCTATCCCATTTTGCAGCGTTGCTAATGCACATGCCAAAATATTAACAGGATTGGGGCCCTGCTTTGTAGAAAGAGATGCATGCTGTGCCCCGGAGTGCCACCTTACAGGAAAACACAAATCCCTGGGTTGAATGCTAGTGTATCCCATCATCTCTCCCATCTCTCTGATACTATTCCAGTTGGCTCCCTCGCACTTCCAGATAATTCACACATGTTCACTCAAACACAAACCCTACGGCACCCCTTCCCCCCACGAAAAAGTCAGCCAGCTGTTACAAAATTCAGACATTTCATTAACACAGTTTACTGGCTGATACTGCCAAGCAAAATAGAGACAATTAATAATAATCAGGACTGAAGGGCCTGAGACAGCTTATGAGTAAAGGATTGTATTGGTTGTTTAAAAAGGACAAACTCACTCCTGCCTGGAGTGATAGGGAACAAAGAGCGGTGATGTATAACTGGGGAGGAAAGAGACTCTCTTCGTGGCTTTTGTAGATTACTGTGTGAATGACAGGAGCGGCAGGAGCAAATATCTCTTTTCATTTGCTCAGCCTGTTGGAGAAGAATAGCAGCGCTTGCCAATGAAGCTGCAGCTGTGCTCCAGCTCCGTTTAATCACTGTGTATGACTGAGGGTTAATTAGCTGCCATTCTTACTGCTATTTGTTGTTCCACTGAAGATTTGCATAAATGTAAGACTAGGGGGTAACTGATACTTGATTTTTCCCTTCAGAGTGGCGGGGGTGGAAAATTCACCCATCCCAACTGTTTATGTTTGTGGGAGATTCAGTGTTGCCTTTCCATTTGACCTGATCTCCTTTTGGCTGATGAATGGTGAACAATGAGTTCAAAGTTGCTTATCAAATCAAGATCCCTGTTGGGTTTCTGCCTTTACAAAGGGGTAGATTAGTTAGACGAAGGGACGACTGAGGGATTAGAAAATTACTCCCAGCTGACAGAGAGGAAAATACATATATGCATGTTTCTATATCTATATATGTACATATATATGTGATATATTTAAGTGATAGTCATCTCAGTGATATATATACGTGACACATCTATCTCTCCATGCATCCCTCCATGCATCCCTCCATCCACCCCTCCATCCATCCATCCATCCATCCATCATGTCCAATCTGGATGGCAAGGAACCAATCCTTTGTTAATGATAGAATGTCATTAAAAATTAATGGGAGAGTCAGCACAACCAGAACAAGATGTAGCATATTAGGTAATATGCTGAAAAGTAAGAACTTGTAAGTTTTCTCAAGCCTTCTGTTGGACACAGCTAACATTCAAAGTTCACTTTTTAATTAAAAAAGTATCTAACATGAAACAGGCAATTTCAAAGGAAGGCAGAAATTATTCGGCAGTTCACAGTTACCTGCCAGCAGTACCTCATGAGAGGGAAATTCACTGTATAAATTAAGAAATTGCATTCATTCCTCAAAAAATCATAGCAAAATTTTAACACGAAGCAGTAACAAAATCCCAAACTAGTTTGTAAATAAAGAGACCATTTGAAAATAAAACATCATAATTTTTTTTATTTACTATGGTCAGGACAAAGGTTAGCTTTCTGGCTGCTAACCAAAAAAAATAAAGAGAAGAATAACTTCCCATTTTTAGTATGTTAAGTCAGTATGCTTTCAGTGAGTGCATATAATATAGTATGGGTAACTCTTTTCAATGTTCCTCTTGCACACTTGGTCTGCTAAAACTGTTGTTGACAGCCTCTGTAAAATAGCCTAAGGCAAAGAAAAAGATTGAGACAGCAGAGGTAGTAGATTTCTAGATTTCAAATCGCTGCTGGAAAGTGGCTTTCAAGTTGACTGTATCACTCTAAAGAGAGATGACCACAAGTGCGCACATACTTATTGCCAGTTTCTCAATCCCAACACAGCTTTGCAGTGTCTCTAGCTCTTTACTTGGTCTCTAAGACACATGAGCAAATATTCATTTGCTTTTCTATTATCAACCCACCTGACTTCTTATAGACACCTCTGCTTATTTTGGGCCAGACACTACCAGAAATCGATCTTTCAGAGAAGTAAGTGGAGAGCACCTAATACACCTGAAATAAATGTGCCTGAAATGGTAACACAGGGCTCCTCTACTGCTCCAGCTCTTAGCTGGAAGGAACACTATGGTTTTTAATACTATATAGAGTAACAAAGCCTCATGAAAATAAAAAGTCAATTGCATTTTTGTCCACTTTCACCTTATTTTGAGCTTTGAAATGTTTCAATCTTCTGTTACAGCTTTTGATTCAGCCCCTGATTACATGAGGATCTCACATTCTGCCCTTCGCAAAGGAATTTTTAGCTCTTTGAATATGGAGAAAACTTTAAAACCAGGAAACTTAAAGGTTTAAAAACTAGACTGCAAATAAAAAGAAAAATACTGACATGAAAAACAAAAACCAAACCAGCAACAACATTCACAACATGTAAACAGACCACTTAATTTTTCTTTGATGATTCATTAATAATTTCTATATGCTACAATTTTCCAAGGCTACAGTCAGAATGATCCACTGGTAAACAGGGTAAGAGAAAGTGGAAATTACAGATCTAGTGGTCAATGGCAGAAAACAAATCTAAACGAGCTGAGGGGAGAGGTTAAGTGCTATGCTAGTTAATAAGAATGACAGCTTGCTTTGAATACTCTCACTGGCTGTCCAGGATATTGAATAAACCTCATTTAAATTAATTTTCATTATTTGTAGAGTCTGTGTTAGACATCTATCATTGTCAGTACTATTAATATTCTTTTCAGAGACCATATTATCAGCATATTTAAATGAAAGCTTTCCTTTTCAATATTTATTAACTCATTAATATTTCTTGGTACTAATATCCTGGTTGGAATGTCCAAATTAGTGACTACTACAGGGTATTTTCTACTGATTAAACTTTCTGAATTAAAAGATTTTTATTCCCAAGTACTAAAAATGCACTTGAGCTCCTGAAATTGTTCTTTCTTTCTATACTGTATCTTAATTTCAATGAATGGCATTTAAAACTTAGATTTTTGTCTTTTTTTTTTTGGTAGGTAGTAGTAAAACAGTGCACTGACCATGTCCCAGTAGCTGACTGAGTATGAACTGTGAGTGAATGTGCATGTGAACATTAATTCCTCTTACCCGGGTTGCAGTCTGTGAGGAGGGAGCAGATGGAGAGGAGGACTTTAGAAATGGTTAACGCTGGACTCCAGTTGTCTTTTAAAATGTCCAGGCAGATGACGCCTTGGCTGTTAATGTTACAGTGGTAGATTCTTGTCCGAAACGTTACCTAGAAAAGACAGGGTGTCTAAGTACAACAGTGTTCAAGACAATAATTACACAATTATTAAGAAATTATATGAAGTAACGTTCTGCTTTCCTGGCCAAAATGATAGTACTCTGCCAGTGTTAGTTAAAGACTGGGTGAGATATGGATATTCGTAAGAAAATAAAGTCTGCCTTTTCCCCCTGCGGCCAGCAGTGGAGCTGGTTTGTGCAAAGTGAAAATGGGACATGTTCCCTGAGGTCCTTCTTGACTTGCTCTCATCATAGAATCATAGAATCATAGAATGGTTTGGGTTGGAAAGGACCTTAAGATCATCTAGTTCCAACCCCCCTGCCATGAGCAGGGACACCACACACTACACTATGTCGCTCAAGGCTCTGTCCAGCCTGGCCTTGAACACCTCCAGGGTTGGAGCATTCACAACTTCCTTGGGCAACCTATTCCAGTGCCTCACCACCCTCACACTGTAAAGAACTTCAATCTCATTATTTTTGTATTCCAGGCCCTGATCCGGACAATGTTCATAACTCAGGCCCAAAGCTACTTCATGCTTTGAAGGGAGGCAGAAGAAGACAAATTCTTCCACTGTCTTCAGATGTTTGTCATTTGATCCAATAGATCAAGCTAGAAAAAAAATGTGGAGGCATCGCATCAGCGACCTCTGGAAAAAGTAAAGTGAAGTATCTTTTAGAAAGGCTGCTCAAATTAAATGCTTTTATTTCCAAATTTTAAATCACAGTTGAATCAGTAGAATTGCTCACAAACACATTTTGGTTACTTTCGTAGTTGATTTTGAGGTTTTCTGTATCCATTTTATATCATTTCATAGGTGATCCTATACGGAACAAAACAAGGAGGAGATTACTTGTTTTAGCCTAGAATGATGTGCTTCTGCTTCGAGTTGAAGATACAGGCCTTTTATTTTAAAAGAAGTTCAACTATGAAAGTCCTAGTCCTCTGAACTTTGCAGTTCAGAATGAAGACTAGGGCTACTGCATAGGAAAAGACAATATTAAAGAAAAACCTCTTAGGAGTCAACAAGGACTAATTTCTCCATCAGTTCTAATCAAATGACAATTCAGAACAGATGGTTTTAATGACATCTTCATAACATCTAAAATGAAGATGTACAATTTCAGAGGTCTAACTCATCAGCAATAACCCTGCCAGTAGAGAGGCTGATTAGGCAGAAGACAACAGTAGGCAAAGCACCCTCCTGCTTCAGAAAGCTGTGCTCTTCACTGCAGTTGTACGGTGCTAATAACTGGGAGTGCTTATACACCTACCCCTGCTCTATCAGACAGATAAATCTGTGTCTGGAGAGTAATGGAAACTGATAGGCATAATCCTGTTTTGATTTTATTGAATATCTGAAATCTCAGTGATTTCAGTGGGACTGAGATCAGGCCACTTATAAGTAAGCAGAAGAGAGGATAAAAATGAAATAAGACAACACCTGGTTTAGTTCTATTTAAAAAAAACCCACTCTCTAACACAGCGAAGAATTCTGCTTCTTTAGATTAAATCAAGCATTTTTGACAAAATAATGGAAAGAAAAGGTAGTAGATTTCTGGTATTAAACCACTATATTCAACAAGAAATACTTTTTCTTATAAGTACTTTCCCACATAAATCTGGGAAAGCACTTTTGGAGCTCACTGTCATGCACCAGTGAGTTCTGTAACAAAGACCCCAACAAAGCAAGTTAACCAGTTTTTAAATGTCTAAAGGCATTGCCAGTTAATAGGATAATTTAATACTTTACCACTCCATACCCTACGTATTTGTAGGTTCTTTCCTTTTTTCCCCCTGCATTTGTGGTTCACTAATTGTTTTCCAGCCTAAGTAAGTGCTTCACTTCCAGGACTTTTATGAGAATTTAAAATATTTCTGGCAAAATGAGCTCAATTCATCCAAACACTATAGCCAGATGATCTATTTCCCCCCTCCCCTTAGGAGTCCAAGCACATTAGGCATTTAGAGTGAAGGAAGTCTTCTGTAGGATCAAGAAAATAGTATTTAGTGATTAAATTACATGCTCATCTACAAAGGGAAGCTAGTTTGAATAAGGAGTGTTACAAATATGGAAAAGCAATAAACTCTCACATAAACTGCATGTTGAAAGTGTCCACAAAGGGAGCTGGTGTGAAGGAACATCCTGTGAATTGTAGGTCAGCGCTGATTAAGCCCCCTGATTAATTCCATGCACTGTTATACTTGAGATACAAGCAAATCAGGGAATGCCTCCTAGCAGCATATCCCATGACTTAGGCAAACACTTTAGCACCTGCTTCATTTCCAGAATCATAAGCTTACTTCACAGAACATTTTTGCAATGAAGTTTTTGCTTGATTATTTTTCCTACACAAAGGTGCTTTCCTATGCTTCCATGGTGCAAAATCTGAAGACTTACTCAGTGGTATCTGAATACACTGAGTAGTAAGATGTATGTGGTCTCACTGAATGTGGAGGAAACATACTGAATCCATTGCACAGGTTAAATTATACCCTCTAAATTATTTATAGACAGGTCAGTCTAAGCTTGTAACCTGCTTAAAAGAAGGCCATCAATTTGAGCCTCTATTTTAATGTATTTTGCTGTCAGGTAAGAAAACAGACACATTGTCACACATTCCCCTGCCTTGGCTGCTTTGGAAGCATTGAAGCAAGGACATTGGGAATTCAGCCGGATCCTGTGAGCCACTGCAATGAATGGAGGCAGTTCATGTCTTCTATAAACTGTTTAACACTCCATTGCTATATTAGGTTATCTGGTGCATAAATGCAGGTAGGGCTACTCCAGTTGTATTTGGAAAGCAAGTGTTAGCAAATACTTAGACCTGAAATGCAGCATTTTTTCACTATAAGCACATCTTAAACCCGTGATGCTGAGAAGGGCTTGCTCACGAGATGAGGCTTGCTGCTTATCACTGACAAGTATGTTACTGACTTGCCAAACATGCCAATGCCCTTTAAAATGCCTGCTTAGAGACCTTCTAATTGCAAAATATCAAAGTTTTCAGAATTCCAAAAGAAGCTGTATTAATGACAGCCTTAGTACACTGGGAACTGTGGACTGATGGTGGCAGGTAACGGTGTTCTTCTCCCAAAGCAGCACAGATTACAACTGGGAGGACATACTGCTTTCCTCATCCAGGTATTGCCTCAAATTGCAGCTAATGTGGCAAATGCTGACATGTAACTTCCTGGATGCTGTGTTTACCATACCCACATTCTGAAGTTACACAGTGTCATTCCTATGATATGTGTGGAGAGAAACCAATTGGTAATACCATTCCAGGGGAGCTACATTTTCTTTATTATGGTTATAATTTTACCTTTGATGACACTTAAATGGTTCCCATAAATGGTGCACTCTAATTCTGCTTATCCCCTAATGAAAACACCTAAACAATCACATGCAGGGACTTAAGGGACTTTGTGGGTGTATAGGAGAAGTTATCCTCAGACAACTGAATGGTAGAGGAGTAATTTATCTTCTTTTTTGAAAGATAAGTGTCCCCTATGGATTTTACTCTCTTTGATTCTGCCATTTTAAGAAGGTATCTCATTTTTGTTGAATAAAAGTGCAGGGCAGGAAAATGTGAATTACAGGAAATAGGGAGAAATAGGATTATCTTCTGAAAACTGTAAGACGACTATAAACAAGCTTTTGAAAGGTAATGACAAAGAATTTATACTCAGTAAGTTTTTTAAGTAAACAATAATAAACTCACTTGTTTACTGCTGAATGCTAAACCCTTCTGAATACTATAAACCAGAATTAAACAAATAAACCTCCCCTTTTACATACTCTTTAAGAAGAAAATGATGTTATCTGAAAAAATTATTAGAGAGAAAAGAAGTACATGTAAAACTATGGCTGGTGGTTCATTGAATAAGTTTTAGGACCAAAAACCCACTTTTTATAAAACCCAGGTAAAGTGAATGAAGATGGATTTCAGTTGAGTGAGTAGAGGCAACTGGTTGTAGGCAAGATAAATCACTCCTGGATCCCAGAGTGATTTTGAACATCAGTTTTCCAGCATGATGTAGTCCTAAAATCACTCACTTTCTTTTGCACCAAATGTTCCTTTAAGAGTTCTAAACCCAAACATTGGAGCATTGGCATTCACATGTATGACTTGCTTAACCTTCGCTGTGAGATTCAGAGACAGGCACATAAAGGTACCACAGCTCTGAAAGGGCTGGCACCACAAACACATCTCATGCAGTTTCAATACTCCACTGAATTCATCCATAATTCTCTTCACAGTTGTATAAGGAGGAAGAAATTATTCTCCAGTTTTGCATATTAGCATGCGAGGGGTTACAGTGTGCACTCAGGGACTGCTTTCTTCAGCCTGTTTGGGTTCAAACCCTCTCCTCCTGTTCCTCGTTCCTCCCACTGAAGCCTGGTGTCCATGCAGGGATAGATGAAAGATTCCCAGAGTCAATAGAAGAACAAACAAAACCAACCCCCTTTTGCTTGGCTAACACTGGAAGCAGAGCTGAAATCCCAGGGCTCTCATTCCTGCAGTTTTGGAAAGTCCCTTTCAAACTCTTTCAATTTCTTACAAGGCTGCAATCCTGCATGCTGGCTGAGATGAAACTTCTGTCCTCCTCAAATATTCCCCAGGAGTTTTGTTTTAATAAAACTCTAGTGACACTACTTGAAGTGGAAGAAGTTGTACTGCATACAGAAAAGGTTATATACATATTAAAAAATACAATGTCATTTATGATGATGTTCATGGAGCTCAGAATGGGGTAAGGAGTTCCCATCTTAGTTTGTCAGACTTTGTGAGCAATGGATTTGTCTGGTCCAATAGAGAGAATAATAAAAACAAGAGCAGGTCTTTAGTCATGTTAGAAAAATACTCTAAATCAACGTAAATGAAATGTATCTATAGCTCTGAGTGACACAATGTTCATGCAATAACCAAACAGCACATTAATTAGCATCCTCAAATTTCTTGCAGAGTGCACTTCATTTTATCTAT